TGAAGGAGTTCCCAAGTAGTGTAGTTACCCCGCACACCTCGCCCCTCCTGAGGTCAAGCGACCTCAGGAATTACAGCTCTGCCTCTGGCAGCCAAGACTTGGAAAAACAAGTGTGAAAGCTTGGGCACGAGCCATTGTTTGTATCGTGTTTATTACAAGGGGGTACATTTTGGTTCCTGGGCGGCCAGAATGCCATGCATTGCTAGGGGGGGCAGCTATTTAGGGAGAATGCATTGTGGGTTTTAATGGTTCCTTTACAGTAAGGGCCTAGGGAAGGGCCTTTTTCAAAAGGAAATGTTATGGTTGTAGCCATTAAGCCAACACACCTGGGGCCCCGTGTGTGTTTTTCTAAGGACAAGATCCATGGCGGATTTATTTTATGAGGGAAATAGCCCTGTAGATGCATTTCTCCTTTTGTGATTGTTTCTTTAAAAGCCACTCAGAGTTCTCCCTGGGAGATGACAGTCCACGTCACATCGGATCTGATGATTGATCACTCTGTGAAACAGTTCAGAAACTACAATGAATCGCCCCTATGTTAAAGGACTGAGTGGTACAAAAACCCAGGTGAGGTGCCCCAGGGAGAGAGCCCTTGCTTGTTTTAGAGGGCTCTGGCTGTCGTTGTTTTTTCCTTCTGAACCCACATGAAAGGTGGGGTACAATATCGCGTCCCTCGGAATTCCCCTCCTAAAGCATTAATGACAGGATCCAAAGGATGAATAGCCCTTAGAGGAAAGTTCAAAATTGAAAAAAATTGAAAAAAAAAAACCTTTTTCAAAGGTAATTAAATTTATACGCATAATCCCCGATGACAAAGAAACAAAATGCAAAAGTTTCCCCTTGATAGGAAGGAGGCATTGTGTTGAAGTGGAGTGCTGGGTGCAGAGTCAGTATGACCAGGCCTGGTGCTTTTCCCTGGGCTGAGGCTGGAGTTAGATCAGGTGTGTGTTCTAAGATGCCGGGAATCCAAATAAATTCATTAAAGCATTGGTGGGCTTTATTATTATTACTATTATTATTACATCTATAAAGACATGAAAATAAGTAAATTATAGGAAAAGGTAAAATAACCATTGAGTTGATTTTATGTATACTTAAGAATTTCAATGTATTAGCCATGTGGTACCTTACTCAATTCAAGAAAATTCAAAGGAGGGACTTCCTAGGTGGTCCAGTGGGTAAGACTCTGCGCTCCCAGTGCAGGGGGCCAGGGTTTGATTCCTGGTGGGGGAACTAGATCCCACATGCATGCTGCAACTAAGAAGTCTGCATGCTGCCACAACTAAGACCCAGCGCAACCTAAATAAATATTTTTTTTTAAAAAAGGGAAGAAGAAAATACAAAGGGCAGTGTTGCTTCTACAGGGGGCGGCTAGTTTTCTGCATCAACACCTTCTGGCAAGTGACTGAGCATGAAGCCAAATGCGCAGGATGGTGGGGGCAGGACTCTCCAGCACCAGTCGTGAGTCTTTCTTCTAGACTCATCAGATCACCTGAGGGCAAAGCATTTAACTTTTCTGTGCTGCAGTTTTCCCATCCTAGAGGAGGCAAGGCCACACTAATTGCCATGTACCTCCTCAGAGGAGATATTATATTTCAGGGTCATCTAAAGATAGGTACCATTTTGCAACAGTACAAACACACATATCAATATAACTAAATCTTAGCCAGCATTTTGGTACTTAGAGAATCAAGCTACCCTAGATATTTAAGCTCCTTGTCCTGGCATTCCCTAATAAATGGATAAGAAAATAAGTAATACATTTGAGGGGGAATGTTGCTACCTACAATTTTGCTGTCTGTACATAAATATGAAATTTTGAGCATTTTTCTACTTGTAGTACGTAATAATATTTTTTTTGTTTTGTTTTGTTTTTTGTTTTGCGGTACGCGGGCCTCTCGCTGCCGTGGCCTCCCCCTTTGCGGAGCACAGGCTCCGGACGCGCAGGCTCAGCGGCCATGGCTCACGGGCCCAGCCGCTCCACGGCATGTGGGATCTTCCCGGACTGGGGCACGAACGCACGTCCCCTGCATCGGCAGGCGGACTCCCAACCACTGCGCCACCAGGGAAGCCCTAATAATATTTTTGACCACCTGAAAAATGAAGCTGAACCTTTTCGCTTATCAAGCTTCATGATGCTTCTACTCAAAATGAGTCTGATTACTTCTCCCAAATTGAGTCTTTTCTCCTTTGGTTAATGTCAATCTTCCAAAAATTCCTTCAGGGGCTTTTTAACAAAATATAAAGAATAATTAGCAACATCACAATCATCATCAAACTATTTCAGAGTCCCATAGGGTACTGTTTACAAAGAGTTTTTTATAATAGAATTATATCCCATGAGGGCGGGACAGAGCCTTGAAGGTGATCTTGAATGATCACTCCAAGTGAACACAACTACACTGAGCAGAATCAAAGTCAGATGACTTGATTACTTTTAAAAGTTCTTTCATCTATGCTGTAATTTATATGATTCCCACAAAGCTCTGTAAGGTGGGCAAGTGTAGATGTGCCATTAAAGACATGTATAGGGAAAGTATACACATAGGAATCCTGCTCTCTATCCTTTTCTCTTTCCATCAGGGCTCTCCCTCATCCAGCTCTGTGGAATTGTTATGTTGGTAAGTGAATTCCAAGGACAGAAAGGGATCTAGAAGAGAATTTTCTAGACACCTAGTAGAGACCCAAAAGTTGACTGAAATCAGTTCTGTGGGTTCTGATAAACATTTATTGCAATGAACTATCAGAATGCAGTCAATGAAAGTAAATATTGGAAACGCACCTATCTCAATAAGTGTTACTTCTTGGAAAATTAGTCATACAGCTGCACATATATGCGTGCAACACGTAAGTACATACATACACATAAAAATGCAAATACTGGATTGCTTTGTAAAAAATTGTTTCTTACTATGTGGCAGGATTACAAGTTTAAAAGCCACTAGTCTAGAAGCTGCAGGGTGTTGCCTGCAGTCTACTTAGGACATCATTTTGACATAAGAAAAGTAAAAAAATCTATTGCCTGGCAGTAAAGGTAGAGTTTGGCAGTAACACAAATGTAATGGGTTCAGGACAGAGCCCAGTTTGAATTTTCACTCAGGTTTCTATAAGACATTGGGCAAGTTATTTATCTCATCTGTAAAGTGGGATAGTTCATCTACTTAATACAGTTGCTATGGGCTTCCCTGGTGGCGCAGTGGTTGGGAGTCCGCCTGCCGATGCAGGGGGCACAGATTCGTGCCCCGGTCCGGGAAGATCCCACATGCCGTGGAGCGGCTGGGCCCCGTGAGCCATGGCCGCTGAGCCTGCGCGTCCGGAGCCTGTGCTCCACAACGGGAGAGGCCACAGCGGGGAGAGGCCCGCGTACCGCAAAAAAATTAAAAAATAAAAAATAAAAATAAATAAAAAATACAGTTGCTATGAGGTTGTGTGTGAAAATGCAGGCAGTAATTCTCTATGAATTAGAACTTTTTCCCCCCTTTCCCTCCCCCATTCATTCATACCATGAGGTGATATCTATAAAATTTCCCTGTTCATACCTGTCTCTTGGGTCACATAAAGGAGTAATTCCTAGCCCTGGAATGTGGCTGCTGAGTAGAAGGGCTGGGAGGTTACCTCTGGCAAGGTGGAGTCATAAGGGCTGTTCAGTCTGGAAGTAAAGGTAGTAATAACAGTAATATCGATGTTATTTATTGAAAATCAACTCTATGTCAGGCACTGTGTTTGATGTTTTAAAAATATTTTATTTAAACTTTAAATAGAATTTATGACTTCTCACTATGATCCAACCCTCCCACCCGCTCACTTCCCATTTCAGTACTCTGTTACATCCATCCATTGGTTCAAGCTGCCAACCTCAGAGACATGCTTGAATCCTTCCCACACCTCACCATCACTCCCATCTAACCATGGACAAGCCCCGTGGATCCTACTTCCTAAGTATGTGACAAGTTCATCCACTTCTCTCCGTCTCCACTACCACACACCACCTTAGTCCATACTAGCTCCATCTTTTACATTTTTTTTTTTTTTTTTTGCGGTACGCGGGCCTCTCACTGTTGTGGCCTCTCCCATCACGGAGCACAGGCTCCGGACACGCAGGCTTAGCGGCCATGGCTCACGGGCCCAGACGCTCCACGGCATGTGGGATCCTCCCAGACCGGGGCATGAACCCGTGTCCCCTGCATCGGCAGGCGAACTCTCAACCACTGTGCCACCAGGGAAGCCCCATTTTTTATAATATTTTATCTAGATCAGTGCTTCTCAAAGTGTGGACTCAAGAACAGAAGCATTAGCATTACCTAATTT